TTTTTTTTTTTTTTTTTTTTTTTTTTTTTTTTTGACAACAAAATTTATGTACAGATCCAAACCTGGAACAGAACATTCCACTGTTATTTACTGTAGCAAAGACAGGACAGAAATAAAAAGCAAAAAAAAAAAAAAGAGAAATGAAATGAAAAAAAAACAACACAACTCTTTCTGTGTCAAATTAATACGTAAACAAATCTTTAAAAATGCATAGATGTAAAAAAAAAACGCTTTCTCTATTTTAAAAAGAAAACATTTGCTAACATATAACGTTCATAGGTTAATCAGTGAGAAAATTATTGAGAAAAGTCGGAAACCACAATGTTGTTTTTGTTAATTCCCTTCATTCCCCCTCCCCTCTCCTCCCTCTCCTCCCTCTCCTCCCTCCCCTCCCCTCCCCTCCCCTCCTCTGTCCTGTTCGCAGCACCTTTTAGCTTTCCCCTCCTAACTTCCCCAGCTCCTTTTATATACCCCCCTCCCCTCCTACCCCACCTCAACCAAGCATTCGGCTTAACATATTGCTGCTAAAGTGTTCACAAAGCTTTAAACTAATAATACAGCTAATTTGATTTTCCGAGAAAAAGAAAAATTCATACAGATAAAGAAGCAAAAAAAGTTTTAACCGAAAATTTGCTGAGTTGAATGAACACTGCAAAAGAACTTTGTTAAAACAAAACAAAACAAAACAAAAAAAAAAGAAAAAAAAAATGCAAAAAATTATAAGTGAAAAAAGGGCAACCAGAAGAATGACATCGTTTTTTATAGATATGAATCAATTATTTACCTTTTACAGCTAAAAACTCTTGAAACTTTTTAAAATAAGTTAGCGATATAAGAATACAGCAAAAAACTGAAAGACAGTTTTAAATGTTACAAAAGCGAAAGAAGCAATTACAACCAAATTCTTTGTCCTTCTTCCTCCCCCTTCGCAACCTTCCTTTCTTTGTAATGCCATTAATAACAGACACTAAATGAAAAAGAATAGAAAATCAGAAAAAAGTATCAGTGGAGTGAAGGAAAAACCAGTATAAAATATCAGCTTTTAGACAACAATGTTATTTCACTGAGAGAAGATAAAATAAACTTTCTTTTTCAGCATTAATCTTCGTACAGCACTAAAAAAAAAATGTTTTTTCTTCATCGCCATTACCAGCAGCAAAAACAGCAACAACTATTATCAATGGCATCTGAAACCAAAGTTCATCCGTAATGTTCCGACCGTATAGCAGTAGCAACAGCAACATCAGCAACAATCACAGAATTTGATGACGATGATGATGGCGGCAGCAGTAATGACAATGGCGCTTGTTGATGATGGCGACGAAGAATGATCACTGTTACACATATCATCAGAAGCCATGGCGACACGGCAAAGTAGCAGATGTAGCAACACGGCCATAGATGCCTTCAGTTGATGACAACACAAAATTCCTTAGGTTTCAGAAAACTTCCAATCAAGCATTTCGGAAGCAGCCTGTCAGTAATAGCCGACCTTTCTAAGGCGAATATGGTTTACCGGAGGGAAAGTACGGGGCAGCAGTTGCGCAAACCGCAATCGAATTGTGTGTATTTAAAAAGTGTGGTTACTAAGCGTTGTGTTTGTGTGTGCCTTATGTACTCAATTCGGACTACTACAGTTGATGATGGAGTACTCTCAACAATCATCCAC